CCCTCCCCCTGCCACACTTTCCATTAAAAGAGTTGTTTTCATAAAACAGTGTTACTAAGATTCATGTCTATAAAATCTATAAGAATATTAGTGTGTCAAACGCATAGATGATAAAGATTTCTAAACACACGGTAGGAGTCGCGGTTAATCTATATTAGGTAAAGGCACCATGTTGAATGTGTCGAATGTTGCGAAACAAAATCTAAACCAGAGTTGGTGACGCCGTTCAGCGACACGTCAACCACACGGAAGAAGTTCTCTGTCCAACTAACCTGTCACTGCATTTCTGATACTGGGAGCGTAGTCTTACCAAAATGGGTAATTTAATTATTTGTCAATAAAATGCAATATTTTCTTCGTTTTATCCATAACCTACATATCTATGAAGAATTAGGTACTGGTATAGCTGTTTTGTACATGTCTGCTTCACTCGGCGCACATTGCGACTGTTGCCAACTAGGAAGCTAATGTTGGCTATGTACAGGGAATATCGTGTTTCTCGTCCACGATGTTTTCGGGTGGACAGTTCATAAACGTTTCGCTTCCAAGCGTAGCTGTTATATAGTGTCTACATATTGTCATCAAGGATGCAAGTGAAAAAGCACGACGACTTGCGTTGTTCAGTAGCTAAGCTAACTTCGGCTAACTTGTTTAACCACCTGAAGGATAGTGATGCTGGATGAGGTCACTATGGGACAAATCAGGACCAGGGCTGAGTTTTAAATACTTACTGCTTTAGAAAGGTTGTGGCTCTTTATCAGCTCTTTGTGACATCCAAGTCTGCATTTCTGTAGTTCTATGATTTTACTCTTCTTATTGATTAAACTTTAAAGATTTATTTTTAGTTATTATTCTTTGTTTCTGAAAAGTCAAATAATGTTTCAGAAGACACCATTGCTTACCAGAACCCAAAGTATTTAATTCATAATTTAGATGGAACAAGCCAATGCATTGCTTTAGTTGATAGAGGATCAAAAGTAAATCACAAGGTATTTCTCAGCTCTAACATTTCCCTCCATGTCTATCTCCAGGTGGTTTCTTCTCTAGTCTCTTCTCAGGCCTGTTTGGCACCAGGGAAATGAGGATCTTGATCCTTGGTTTGGACGGTGCAGGAAAGACAACCATTCTGTACCAGCTGCAGGTCGGAGAGGTGGTCACCACAATCCCCAGTATGTACCAGACTGTGCTATTTCTTTACTTCCATACTTTTGTCATGCTCGCTCCTCACCACGCACCATCCTTAGATGTACTATATATCAGTTACACTCTAGTTTGGGGACAGCTGTGGCTCAGGAGTTAGAGCAGGTCGTCTCCTAACCAGAGGGATAGCGGTTTGATTCCTGGCTTGTCTAGTCCACGTGTTGAAGTGTCCTTGAGCAAGACACTGAACCCCCAGTTGCTCCCAGTGATGGCATGAATGTGGGAGTGCGAATGGGCAAATAGCCAAATAGTGTGAAAGCGCTTTAAGTGTGCTGCAATGCATAGAAAAGTGCTATACAAGTATAAGACCATTTACCATTAATTTAATTTAATTACTGCATGTACAGTAAACCTGCAGGCAGATGCTGCTGCAGACCTGACAAGAATGCAACTAGTCAGGTTGACATTCCTCTTTTGCATACAGTATGTGTGCCAACAGCTGCCTAGTACTTTGAGCAGTGTTTTCTTTTTCCATTTCTATTTCATATAACAAATGTGACTCAAATAGCCTTTCCTTTCAGAGGAAGACTTACCAAATGTAGCATTTCAGTGTAGTATTCTTTATGTTCAATCTCTGGGGGGCAAATAATATTCAGCTGTATATCTTTTGCACATTTTTTAGCCTGAGAATAGGAAAAAAAAAAGCTGTGTCTGCATTTTCTGCAGAGCCTTGTATTAACTGCAGCACTCAGCAGAATATTCACAATGTACATCAAGATAAGCTGGTAATAATCAGGCTCATGTTCTCTCCCCTCTGTGCAGCAATTGGCTTCAATGTTGAGACGGTCACATATAAGAACCTTAAGTTCCAGGTGTGGGATCTCGGAGGACAGACAAGTATCAGGTAGGTGTAGATGGCCTATGGTGGCTGTGGTGTGGAGCTCCCACATGTGAATGTGTGGATATTTCATAAAGGAAGTTTATAGGTTTCTCTCCCTTCACTTTTCCTGTTACTTAAACCTTTTTCTGTTTGAATGCTTGTGTTTGTGCAATCTTGACCACCTTTCCTTCTCATGTCAGGGGTATTTCTTTTTGATCTCTCCACCCTCTTCCGATTGCTCACCTTCTCTGATCTTCCTGCTCCTCTCTGTGCTTCACAGGCCCTACTGGCGGTGTTATTACTCAAATACTGACGCAGTGATTTACGTCGTTGACAGCAGTGACCGTGACAGGATGGGCATCTCAAAGTCTGAGCTGGTGGCCATGTTGGAGGTTCGTGGTTTAATTCTTAACTACAACCTTGACCCTACTTATGTGTCAGAAGTTTGAACTATCATGGTAGCAGCTGAACTGTAGGGGTCTAATCAAATATTTAATAACTTTGAGAGATTTCAGTGAACACTTCATTGAATGCTCTCAGATGATGAAACCCAATCAAACCAGATCTGGCACTTGTCAAATACAATACATGTGCAAAATGTGCTGTGGATCATAGTGGTTTTAAGATCTGAGAAGCTGTTAAATTATGCCATGTTACTCAGATTCAACTACTATCAGTGCAAACCATGGCCATTTGAAAAATTTATTCCTACCGATTACTATATGTCAAAATTTAAAGTGCCCATGGCATGCTTTGCATGTTTAACCTTGGGTACCTCTAGGTTAGCTTTGCTTTGCACCTATCATAACTCCAAATAGTCTGTAATTACTTCAGAATGATAAAATGTGAGAGCCTCTTACTAAAAACGGGAGGACAGTTCATGAACGTGCACCTCCTGCTGACAGTGTTGTCGAAATCTGTTTCCCCTAACCTGAATCCTAACATTATCCTAAACACAACCAATGAGGGGCATTACATGAAACCGAGTTTTGAACAGGAGAAACATCTCTCGACGGGGGAACAAAAACACTGACAAATAAGCTGTGCTTTTGACACTGACAATACCTTAAATCCTACCTTATATGTTCAAGTCAGAATATGAAAGTGGACAGCACAACAAACCTCAACAGCATTAATTAATTTGACTTTCTCCTTAATAGATACAGTAGGTATACAACAGTATATGTACCAATGAAGAGATGTGTAACACACTGAATAAAGGGGGTAATTGAGAAATCCCATATTCTAACTGGCATAATGCACACATAGTAGCTTCTCCAGCCTTATAATTCTGTCTACAGAAATAAGGCATTAATAGACATGCAATGTGTGTGTGTGTTTTGTTTTTTTTTACTTACTGTTAAGTCCCACTGAGTAATGGAAACATCATTCCCTTTCAGGTAGCTCCACTGTCAGTAAATCCAACCTGTGATCGCTGATTTTTTCCCCCACATGACAACATACATTCCCAAAGTAGTGAAATTTATTCTGACAGGTATCATAGCACCAACAATAACATCATGGATTGTTAGAATCCTCTCATGATCCTGCAATAGATCACATACAGCCGACCCACTGGCCTCAAGCAGTTAAAACAAACATACAGTGCTCCAGGGGAATCCATTGATGATGAGCTCATCATTCACTGCCACAGGGTCCATCACTGGCTAGCTGCTTGTAGGTTAGACCCGGTCAGGTGTAACAGTGAGTCCCTGTACAGGAACGTTCCTGGACATGCAGTAACCTCAGGCCCTGTATTTTTCTTTGCATCCTCTGGACACTGTGCATGCAGCAGGACGTCTAAACCTATCCACAAAACCATGTGCAGTTGAAAAATGCACGATTCAGTGGGTAGAGCAGTCGTCTCCCAACCGGAGGGTCGTAGGTTCAAATCTTGGTGCCTGCAGTCCACATGTTGAAGTGTCCTTGGCCAAGACACTGAACACCCAAGTTGCCCCTGATGGTTAGAGCCATCGGTGTGAGTTGGCGCCACAGATGGCAGCCTCGGTTCTGTACCAGAAACAAATTCCTTGTGTGTAACATACTTGGCCAAATAAAGGTTATTATTATTATTATTGTTATTTAAAATGGCATCAGTGGATGTCAGGTAAGCTTGCATGAACGTGCAACTGCCTGGAGATAATGACCATTCAAGGAAATCCTTAAACTATTAAATAATTTTGCTAGGGAAAAAAGTCTCACGAGCGAGTTTGCAAGACTTGTATAAACCAAGTTGCTTCTACATGGAAGTACTAGAACATGCATACTACAAATTGTTTGAGCTTTAGGCCACATTTAAGATGATAATTGTAACACACTGTAGATAAGTCAGAAAACAAGGAACAGCATGCCTGGAGCTCTTTAAATACCCCTGAATACATAGCATTTACATTTGTCTTGAATGTATGGTGTTTGAATTCTGCTTTACAGTTTCTAGTATGTCATTTCATTTGGTACTGGAAGTGACATTATTTTTTTCAGATTCATGTTCCCAAAAATCCAAGTATCCAGTATTCAAATGTGTAATTTAAAGTTCATTAATTCAAATTCTGAACTAAAATTTAAATCTAATCAAAAGATCTGGTTGCTTAAAATGGACATTATTGAAACATTCTTCAACATCTGGGCTACCAAGATATTGAAATGGCACCATTTGAAACACTATATAGATTAATCAGACAACATACATTCAAAGTGCTGACTTTCAGAGTAAAATATTTCAGAACTATAAATTCAGTGGTATTTACATTTTCACATGCAATATTTAAGTGGTTCAGTTTCATAAATATTTAGTTGTCAGGCTCAAGCTCTTACAGTTTAAGTAATTTTGCTTTCATGACACTTGCGTATATTTGGAGCTGTCATTTAGCACATATCTGGCTTTTTGGCCATTAGACCTAAAACCCCCTCCTCCTCTTCATAATGTTATTTGGTGACCTTGTCTTTTATTTAGGAGGAAGAGCTGAAGAAGGCGATCCTGGTGGTGTTTGCAAATAAGCAGGATATGGACCAGGCAATGACACCCACAGAGGTGGCGAATGCTCTGGGACTCCCTGCACTCAAAGACAGAAAATGGCAGATCTTCAAGACCTCAGCTACAAAAGGCACAGGCCTGGATGAGGCAATGGAATGGTAGGCTTTACCATACACTTTATAAAGGACTTAGGAGGGGTCTTTTTTTGTAAGAGTGCTTAGGTAGGTATAACACAACATTAGTTGTGACTGGATATTTAATGTAGTGATAGAGATAAGGTATGATTCTTATTTTCAGTCAGAAGTGGTGAGTTTACCAGTCACTTTGAAAACAGCGATACCATGAAGGGAGTTAATTACATTTGAGTATTCCACCTCTTCAGTATTGTTTTATATTGCACAAAATATTGATTCTTTGAGTTTGTTGAAGCTAAATTAGATTTGCTCTGTCTGTCCTTGCAGGCTGGTGGATGCACTGAAGAGTCGGCAGTAAAGGTCTCCCATCCATTCTGTATATACTCCTTACCTTTGACTCTTGTATGAAACTTTGTGACTGACCCCTCCCCATATCCCACCTTCCTCTGGACCTCTGATTGCACTCCCTCCCTCCTTTTCCCACCTGAAGCCTTGGCCAAACCTTCCCAATGCTTTTGAAGCTTGGGACTGAGAAGCAAAGGCTGCAGTAACGTATAGACTATGCAGACACTCACAACACATGTACAAAGCCCAGGTGAAGGTTTTAGAGAACTCTAGGACCACAGTGATGGATGGGCAACAGGTTATCTACATTTTTATATGTGTAAGAAATGCATCCAAATGTCAGCTGATTACTCATTAACTCAATTCATTAATTCATTAACACCTGTGAACAAAAATTTTAAGGTTTGCTAATTTTATGAATTGATTTGTAAACATGTGAGCACTAAGTTATTACAAAATAAGATGAATCAATGAATGAAGCTCTGTAGTATTTCTGTAAACAGGTGTCTTCACTGGACGCTATCATTTAGCATCATCTTCTCTTCGAGAGGTTAAGAAATTAGCATGTGGTAAAGCCAGAGGATTTGATGGGCACCAATGACAGTAAAATCAAGCAAGGGAGATCCACAGTGAGGCAGCATTTTACCACAAGGGTGGGAACATTATCCAAGGTTGAACAATAGACATGTTAGTTCTGTTCCTGACCTGAGCAAACTGACTAGGACACATCATCATTAAGCAGCAGCTGCTTGACTGCCAAGTTATTAGTGTTTAATATGTTGGACTAATAGCCATTGATTTTCATCTTTAGTGCAGCGCTACAGCATGAAGTCCCACTCTGGATAACCCATGTCTTTGTAAACAATCTGCTGACTTACCTAAATATTCTCATTTACTTTTGGAAATGGCAAATTGTTGCAGAATTATTTCCAAACTGTTAAACATCCGCTATGTCCTCTGGCCAAGTGTTATTGCAGCCTATGCTGTGCTTCCAGTATACAGTGAGGCAAATTCAGTGTCATGGATTTCTTTTTTTCCCTGCAGTTTATTCCTGTTGTAAAGAAAATAGTTTAGGGGTCAAAGCTTTTTTTCCCCATTGAAATCCTTGAGTGCAGCTTTGGCATATTAGTCATTTAGTTAATGAACAATAAACTATATGCTCAAAGTTTTATGGTGTCATATTTATATCTGCTTGTACAGTGAAGATGATTCTCAGTAAACATTCCTATCAGTGATTGAACCGTTGTGTTCAGACTTTGATTTTCAAACTAATACTGCATGAAACGATCACTAACAGTGTCAAATCTTTATTTATAAAAAGTTGTACATTTAACTGCACAGGATATATATCAGAGACAACCCTACAGTCCGTTCACAGCAGAAACCAATAGATTTCATGTTCTGCTGTTCAATGTCATTTTCTTGTTCAACTGACAATTAGAATAATTCAAATCATTATGTAACAACATGAGGTGAGCCTGTCCAACTAACACCTGCCTGCTAAATGAAAATGAGTCATTTTACTGGGTCAACTGGCCAGTTTTCATCCCCAGCTAGTTATCCTCAATAAACAGATGTAGCCACCCACATGACTCACTGCACCATCGCCAGGTCTTTGAGTGCATGGCTCCGGTGCTTCTTTGCTTTATATCCAGGCCGGAGGAACTCAATCTTCCTCTTCTTGGCTTCGATTTTGTTCTTGTGCTTCTTGAGCTTCTTCTTGGCAGCGATGTCTGGGTTAGCCACCATCTCGAAGAGAGAAGAGGACAAATCTAAAGCTGACTGCCAGGATAAAGTTGCTACATTTGTGTATGTGGGCACTCATTATGTCTGTGTTTCAAATCATACCTGCATGGCTCTGTGTCGTTTTCGTTCAGCTCGCCTCTGTGAAAACTCCTTCTGGACAGAGGAGAATGCCAATGAGAAAGTCTCCAGTCCCACTCGTCTCTTCAACAGCTCGATCAGCTCCTGTGACAGGTTCTTCAAGGTGGGATCTGGACAGAGAGCAGGGGTCAGAGATGGGAGTTGAATATGAAGATGTTCGCATTGTTCAACCATTTTTACATAGGACAAGTCAGACTAGAGAAAGATGTTTGCTGGGATTTTCAGTCAGGTAAGAGTAGTTTTACCTTGGTCTGTGTACGTGCTGTCCAACTCTCTGTACAGAGGAGTGATGATAGTAGTCAGATAGGGGCGAAGCCTTTCCTTCCCCAGGTCCATCGCTATTGCTCCCAGGAACTTGAACACACACGTTCTCTTTGGGAGAGCGGAGGGAAAAAAAATGTTGATTTTATTACAACTTAGATGCCAGAAAGATGGGCCATTTTACATTTATAACTGAAAGGCAGTACAAGTTTTAATAGTGTCGATACGTGTTCTTTTCCTGTTTGCTAGTGAACACAACATTTCTTACCATGCCTGCACTGACAGCTTCTCATGATCTGTTTTAACTATCTGGTACTCCTAGTTTCTATTATTACCTTTAACGGAACTTTGGGAGTGTACGCTGCCTCTCTCTTGGCCATCAGTGACAGCTTCTTCATCAGCCACAGAAGGGAAGGAGGTCGATCATTCGTGTCATCTTTGTCCTCTTCTCCCTCATCTCTTTTTTCCCCTTCTTCATATCCATTCTCCTGCCGCTCCTCCGCCTTCACTTCTTCCACATCAGACTCGGGGGAAATGAGGTAGATCACCTTGCCAACAAACAGCAGGTTCTTGATCACCTGTGCGAAAAGCAAAACATGACTATTGATCAGATCTCATCTGTGTAATTTACAGGAGCCGGAGGAAAAAAAAGGATTTACATTCCAATCGTGACTTATATCTTCTATGACTCTAAATCAATTTACAAATGCTAAAAATCTATTATTGTCAGTGTTGACAGAACGAAAAAGGCGGAATTCAACTGCAAAGCCAATGTTGAACATCCTAGGATTGTGTTATACATCTACAATACAGTTGTAATGTTAGTTTATCTTCAGACAAGGAATTATTGTACACATGTATTAATTACTTAATAACAAACTTTGAAAGACAAGTGCAGAGAACTATGTGAATTCAGAGCCTATCACCAACAGACTAACAGTGGCCCAGGAGCACTTCAGTTAAACTGGTAGGATAAAGAAAACACCTAATTTCTACAGACTTGTGCTCATGGTTTAAAAGTACTTGGACTGTTTTCACACACACTGCTAGTGTGTGTGAAAATATTAAGTCCTGCATTCAAAATATGACAAATATAAGCACAAGAGAAGTACCAAAAGTGAAAGTACTCATTCAGAATGGCACATTTATATTATTCGATTATAATTAATGCATTATTGTGTTCATCACATAATGCTGCAGCTGGTAAAGGTTAAGCTAATTTTAATAATCTTATATACTTAAAATTTCAAGCACCTTGCATAATGCTGGGTAGCAGTATGCAAAGTACCTGGTTTTTATGCTCATCAGAACCACTTAGGTTAATAGTCTGTTAAGTTTCATTAGCAGCTCAGTAGGTACAAGATAGAAATCAGTTGTATGACACACAGTAAACTAGAGTAAGAGCCAAAATATGGTGCCCCTTTTTATTGAATCATATCATTTTTTAATTGAAAATTGTTCTGAATCAAATTGTGACACCAATAATCAGAATCTGAATCAAATCATGAGTTTGCCAAAGATTCCCACCCCTAGTAATTTAGATTTAACAGCAAAATGGATGTGTTTTGGCTGAGTGTGTCCACCTGCTCTCCAGATCCTACGTCAAGGAACTTTGATTGCAGCTGATGGCAGAACGCCAATGCCAACTCTCTCATCTAGAAGTCAGAAAAAGAAACGAAAGAAGAAAGATATTTTTGCTCAGTAAAATCAGATGCAGAAATTAGCTGACTTGAGAATCTTGGGCCTCACCTTCTTGTCCAGGTTGCTGGTGATAAAGGCTGTGGCAGCAGGCTGAGATGAAGCATCTCCACTCTCTCCTCTCCAAACAGCAATCAGCTGCTCTGCTTGTCGGGCAGCAAACAGCTGACCAAAGAGCTGCGAGGCTGTCAGCCATACCCAGCAGTGAGGGTAGCGAAGGTGGGCTTCAATATGACCTAATAGTGCCCACAAAGAAAAACATTTTAATTTTGTGTTGGCTGTGGGTGTGTAAATGACAGAGATAACGTATGTTGCTCTTTTACCCCAGATTCGGTAGAGTGTGCCATGGGGCTTGCTGAGCTCCAGCAGGCCGCAGTGTTTACTCAGTTTGGTGACAAGAGTCAGATAACTGAACAACAGCCTATCTGCTCCTTTCTCCTCCTGCTCCTCTTCAATCTGAAAGACAGACAAAGCACTTTCTTTTAATCACATTTCACATTTGTGGCCATAGACGGGGTAAATGTGTTGCCATTTACGTCTTCATAGTTGTCAGGGTTGATCTCTCTCTCCAGCAAAGGCAGTAAGTCATCCAAGCGATGGGCAAACTTCTCCTCTTCCACCTCTACGAACAGACCACAAATCTGAGCCCCGAGACGCCGCAGGCAGGGCTAAGAGAGCAGGGGAAATCAGATCACTGATCAACTGAAATGATATAAGACTTTGAAACACACCAAAACGTACAATACAACATACAATTATTGTAAGGCACAAAGTTCAGGGTTTCCACTCTTTTCAAGAAATAATTTACCCAAAATTACTCAATGCTACTTTTTTGTTATTATTCACAGTATGTGACTTGTCTCAGGTTTTATATTAGATGCCCTTACTGACACAAACCTCCCATTTTACCTAATGCTATTTGTTATTTACACATTTAAAATGTTTTTCTAATCTGCCAGATGGAAACATGCTAACACCAACATTTAGGGCTACTTGGGAGCCACCATGACAGAAAAAATAAAAAACCATCAACAGAGCAAGATGCCTTTAAAGTGAACCAAATGAGCTGTTGTAACATCAGCTACAACTAGATACTGTTACTGTTTCAGCCACATTTTTCATTTATATTTGTTTACATTTTGTCCATTAAAAATAGGCTTACAACAAATTAACTGTGTGCTGCCCCCTGTTTGTAATGTACTCATGGATATAAAGACATTAAGACAACCATCACTGGATATCTCTGGTAATAAACAAGCTAGCCAACTAATGTTAAAGTAAATGATAATCCAGCAGGTGATGGAGCATTAAATCTTAAAACATTTTTAAAAGTAAAACTTACTAGACAATAGTTATTAACGTTTGCATTTCAACAATCAAGCCACTTACAGTCCCTGGTTGTCTGGCTACATTCCCTTGTAATTTTGTCCAGTTTATTTTATTCATTTTGTCTTCACTCAAAAGCTAAGAGTAGGTTTACAAAAACATTACTAACAGGCAATAAACTTCTACCCTTGCTCTTTAATGTTTATCTCACACATCACCTTTATTTCAGCTGCCAGCTCATGCTAAGATTTGACAGTTCACTCTCAGCAAAAGGAAAACAGAAAATTTTGAAAATTATTTTCCAGGATGATAGTTTTTCCAGGATATTGTACAATTTATCTCCATGACTGGAAAAGTTACAAATTTACAGGTTTTCCAGGATGCGTAGGAACTTTTAAGCACAAAAAAGTGGCTGATCTGAATTCACTTGTGGAGTAAAGACGTTGGTCTAAACTTGTACCTTTTCTGCATTCAGCCAGGTGTTCACAAGAGAAAACAGGGCGTTCTGGTGGTTCAAGTCCAGCTGGGTCAGCAGGTCCTTGATAGCCAAGGCAGCCATTTTTTTACAATGTGCAGAGTCATCGTTGACCACGACCAGGGCCAGTGGGGCAAAGAACAGGCCACTGTGCTTCAACAGCAGGTTCTGAACGAAAACCAAACCAAACCAAAAAAAAAACAATACAAGACCGTGTTTTGTCCATACTTTAGTAGCCTTTACTAAGGTTATAATACACATTAGTAAAATATGGTGGTTTTTAGGTTGAAGGTAATGATGTGAATTATGCCCAGTGCAATAGTAGATTATGGATATTATGGATTATACAGGATGTGTCTCTCTGTAGATAAATGCAGTACAATAAACTGGTTTGTACTTGTCTGCAAATTCTTCTTGTTCATGCACATTTAGAGGAAAATGTACCTGAGGGAAAGTCTGAAAGATGTATGCCAGCATCTCCAGTGCAGACTCCCTGCCTGTGTCGTGCTCATAGTGCAGGTGGGCCACCACAAAGTCCAGGTGTCCTTTCAGCTTCCTCCCCAGTGGGTAGTCCAGCAGGTACTTCAGATAGATCTGAACCACAAAACTTTCCTTCAACTGATTGAACTTACAATTTTTAAAAAGATTTTTTTTATGCATTTGTGTTCAAGTACCTGTCGACAGTAGATTCTTATCATAGAATTGCTGCCTGTAACAGAGAGCTTGGCCACTTTTTTCATCACCTCCTCCATCTCCGGAACAATCAACTTCCTGGACAGAATTGCCTGGAGAACAAACAAACAAAAAAACACACACATACACTGTGTTTTCATTCCTTGTGGGGACTTTACATTTACTTACATTCATTTCCTGTAGACTTATCCTAACCTTAACCATAACTACTACTATCTAATACCTAACCCTGACCCTAATACTTAACCTAATACCTAACCCATGTTACCACCCTAAAATTCTGTGATTTCCTTGTGGGGACTAGCTTCTGGTCCCCACAAGGATAGCCGAGTCCCCACAGTGCGAGTGTGTTAACAGGTTTTGGTCCTCATGATGCAAGTAATACAAAGGCGCACACACATACACACCTCAGGGGACACTTGTGACAACAGTTTAACTTGACCGCCATTGATTACCTTTAGTAGGCCAAAGGCAGTGGCCTGGCGGGACTGATCGTAGATGTCCTCCTCAGCATATCCAAGCAGCACCTGAAGCTGTGCCTCAGAGATTTTGTTGCTTTTGAAGTTCTTCACAAGTATGGTGATGGCCTGAGAGACAGAAAGAAAGATGATGTCAGCCAGTTTTATCTCCAGTTTATTTGATGAGATTTCTCCAATTCAGGGTGACTTTTGTTAGATTATTAAATAATGTAGTTTGATGCCACTTCACAGCCTAAAATGCATTTTCCCAAAACATTTAAATTCTTTGTTTTCTCTTTCAAAGTCTCATATTATTTCAGAAAGCTGTCTTCATCTTATAGGAACATAAACATCTATTGAGCTTTATCTACAAAACCAAAAATCTATATCTGGTGTGTTCATACATGTGTTTTATTACTTGTAGTACCTTGAAGCAGTTCTGGACCAGGTGGTAATTCTCCCCACGGGCAGCTCCAGCCTTGGAATAATCCTGCAGCAGGACAAAGAGCTGCTTGGTCAGCTGGCCAGCATTCTGCTCCACTGCAGGTAGAGGGAACTTCAACAGCCAAGTGAATGCCACCAGAGCCTCTGTGATCACCTAGGAGGGAGGTGAGACAGACGAAGATGGTGAGAGGGTGGAGGAGAGCGGAGGGAGTGCAAGTTATAATCTCCAGTTTAATGGGTTTGATCAACAGATGCTTATAGTTGGGGTGATAGAAGGCACCCAGGACAACATCAAATTCTAGTACCTTGACATGCATGGAGTTGAGGCAGTCAAGCAGCAGCTGTACAAAAGGATCAAGCATCTCCAGAGCTGAGGCCTCAGATGATGTCACTTTGGATTTCTTCAGACTCAGGTGGAGCAGCTGAGAAATAAACAAATGATGACAAACACTTCAGAAACAACTCTGCTTAAGATGAAAATTTTCATTTTGATAAAACACATATATGGGATTACTGAATTCTAGGTTGGAGAGTGTTTCAACATGCACCTTGAGGCCTGCATCCACCAGGATGTGCATGTTGGTTCGGCTGCTGACTGGAGCTTTTTGACCACCCCTCTTTGGAGCTGGAGGCAGGAGCAAGCAACTGGGAGGAGGCAGTCTGGGGTCACAAGGAGGCTGAGCTCTGGCTTTCTCGCTACAAACACAAGTGTGTACACAAGGGTGTCATTAATGATGGATGAAAACAAGCATCAAAGTATTTTACTACATTTTGATGAGAGGCTGTATGTGAAAGTGTGTGTGTGTGTGTGTGTACCGGTCTCTCTTGGTGAGCAATGGCAGACTCTGGCTGACCAGGCCATGACTCAGCAGTAGGATATCCTGAGGTGTCATGCCCCCATTGACAAGCAGGCCCAGGACCAGTCGCCGAAGCACAGCACCCACCCGGTTACACACCTTCAGACTGGATGTTGTCTCTAGGATCTAGTGTGATAACAATAGGAGAGAAAGACAAATTAGAAACTGTGAAATAAATGGTCAGTGAAGTCATTATTAATGTTACTTTCACTGAGAAAATATAATTAGACAAATTATTGCATTAATTAAGATAATCTTTTCTTTCCTTTAGTTTCACTACCGGATGTAATGATTCTACTAGGAGTTATTGAGTGCAGTTAAATAAGGACTGAGAAATGACTTTACGCCAAAGTGAGAAAGGTCTGTATTAATTCTTAGGGCTGTCAATGCAATAATGAGTTAATGTAAATTCCTTTTAACACCACTAATTTTTTTGACACATGATTAACACGTACACACATTCTGTGATTATGACCCGCGGCCCACCCTGTAGTTTGGGAAATCAGGATGCAGCAGTAACGTTGTGGACGGCAGAAACAAACCTCACTGAGCAGAAATGAATAAAGAAAAGGGCCTTTTGAATGGCAAGTTCAGCTTCAAAGCCTTGCCAGAAGGTTCTCTCAATAAGACCAGAGTTATTTACATTTACTGTCAATGTGAACTGAGTTACAACCGGAGTAGGTCGAGTCTCAAATACCACTTGGTGGCCAAGCACACAGCTGATGCAGAGAGCCCTCCTACTTGAGGGACAGGTAGCCTACACTGTTTTATATGTGGTCCAGTAAGGGGGAAAAAAATTAAACTGCAGCTATATTTCACCCAAAAAACACAGCCATAAATTGTACATAGTTACGCAAATGATTTTGATATTATGGCTCTGAGGGAAAATAAGCATTAAAACAATGACAGCACATACAGTATTGCATATGATTACCCTGTTATCAGAAATTAAATCAAAATGTTCCCATACTGGAAGTAACTTCATAATTTTGGCGCTGATGCCATGGCAATATATTGCAAACAATCGCACTGCAGTGATCTCCAACACTACAAACCCACGAACATTCTGATCCCCGTCCTCTCCCCTTATATCTCAAACATCCCACCAACATCAAAGCGCTTCATGAACCGGTAGCCCAGATGAAGCTTCAAATATCATCAGTGACATCACCTTTTCTAAACAATACAAGCCTCAATGCAAAGGTTCACTTTCTGCTGCCCCGAGTACTCAACACAGGCTTCAAAGTTTTGGTGTTCAGCCTACCATCACTACTGTTCTCTACTTTAGCATATCTTCTATTTCTCAAAACAAGTCCAATCACTCCATCACCTCTTTCAGTGGTAGTATGAGCTTGGTGATGCTCTCCTTGCTACAGAACTTGGCCAGTAGCTCATAGGAATCCATGCTCTTGCTGTGTCGAGCCTCCATCAGCTTGGAGACAATCTTCTTCACCTCCTTCTCCTCAGCCACAGCCCCAAACAGCTCATTGTTGAAGATCTGACCAATAGGGAAGATGACAAAAAAGGGAAGAGAGAAACAGGTAAAAGATTTCAGAATTCACAAGGACACTACAATCCGGAATTAACATCAAAAACAGTTTGAGTCAGCTAATCCATCCTTATTTGTGAGACATGGGAATCTGCACAAGTACAGTACATGTATGTAGAGTGAAAAGGACACGCTCTTACATCAATGAGCATGTCCATACAGGGGTCCAGGTCACCACTTTGCAGAGTTGGACTAAGGGCTGACAGCAGCTGATATACTGTAAATGTTAGAACATGAACCTGGATGGGGAATGGGCAGAAACAAAGAATATTAAAACAGTAACAAAGTAACGTGCATGTCAACTACACATGACAAGAATAAGATTTTCAAATATTCCTTTGTTAGAAATCTTAAGGATTACTTGGTTTATACCATTTATAGTCACAGAATCACACATGTGTAACGACAATAAATTATATTATTTGTGACTGTTCAGCCTCTGGTCATTACGCATGTGATCTTGCAGACAAACTGTAACTGTGTTTTGGTAAGTGTGTGCATGTGTGTTCCTACCTGGTAGCCCTTGACCAGGATGCCCTGCATTTCTTTGAGCAGGTACTGCAGGTACCTGCACCCCAACGTCTCAATGATCTTCACCAGTGTTCCTCTTGCTACATCACGGATCTCCTGGAAACGGTTCCTCAATAGCACACACACCTTGATCAGAATCCTTGATAACACACACACACACACAAATATTTACCAAATGCATATTTAATATGCTTATATTATTACTGGCCCCCAGCATTAATTTTTTTGGACTGTAAATAGATTTCACACACTTAATTTAGTCCACTAAAAAACCAATAGGGATTTATGGTGAAGTTTTGTCATTACGAACATGCAGTTTAAACACAGCAAACAGCTGGAGACATACAACTGCATACCCAGGGAGGTTGACCTCCATGATATGTGAAGGCAGAGTCTGCATCAGTTTGACCATAGCAAAGGCTAATGGTATCCTCGCCACCTCCTCATCTTTCACACCCTTAGACTTCACTGCTTTGTGCTCCTCCTCATGCTTTACCTAGAGGACAGACACACATTTTCATTATTCAGGGGCAGATTTTGTAATTTGGCGGCCCCAGGCAAACCCAAATATGGGGGGGCCCCTTTGCTCTATTTTCCACAGATGTTCTAATTATAATGTTATTGGTATTAGAGACAATGATGGTGTATTTTTCTACTAAAAGTTTCCTTTTAGAACTAAAAATATATGATAAAAGTACTGTTTGATTTTTATTTTTAAATGCAAAGTCATATGCAAAAGTAAAAATAAGTAAAACAAGTGGTCAAAAGTGGCAGGCATAAAGTTAAAGCTAGATGAATAGGTGGTATTTTGTACAAATGGTTATCATTAAGGTGATTCTGTCTTCAAAACAGATGAAAGAAAGGTGAAGTAGGCCACTAGACAATATTTACATGCTGCATATTTTTGCTCTGTTTCCAGACTCGTGGTTACACTTTTTGATTGCAGTTTTTCCCCTATAATAGTACAGGCCACCATGTCAACAAGACCACCTGCCATGC